TTATTAGTATCATTATTATTAGTATTATTAGTAGTATTATTATTTGTATTATTATTATGTATTATTATTATTAGTATTATTAGTATTATTAGTATTATTAGTATTATTATTATCATTATTAATAGTTTCCTTCTTATTAGTAGTATTATGATGATGATGATGATGATGATGATGATGATGATGCTGATGATGCTGATGATGCTGATGATGATGATGGTGGTGGTGATGATGATGATGATGATGATGCTGATGATGATGATGATTATTATTATTGTTATTAATATATATATATATATATATATATGTTTAAAAATCTGTCATGTTGCGGCTATTCTTCATTTTTCGTCCAAAGCCCGCCCGTGGGGACATGCCCGACCTAATCGTAGATTCTGGGCATCCTGAGGGCCTCTCGGGAGCCCTGTCGGTTCGTTTGGAAGACCTTTGGTGGTGGGCGGGAGGACCTCTCGGAGGCCTCTTGGAGGTCCCTTGGGCCTCTCGGGGTCGTCTTGGGCGCCTCTATCTTGAGGGCCTCTGGGGGGGCATGCTGTGGGTCTTGGAAGAAATCCTGTAGGAAAAGTCTGTCAAGGCAATTTCAATGTCCCCCTTTTGGAGGCATATTGGGCCGTCTTGGGGCCCCTTTGGGCTGTTTGTAGGGCCTCTTGGGCTGTCCTGGACCCTCCCTGAGCGGGCCGTCTTCGGGCCCTCTTGGGACCCTGTTGGTATGTCTTGGAGCCCTCTTGGGGCCCTTTTGGGCCGTCTCTGGTGTCTAGACGCCAGGAAGGGCGAGTATGTTAAAATGTGTAGAAGTCTCAAGGACACACAGTTCCCTAATCGCGCTTCGCTAGAGAGCTCTCACAGTGTTTAAATATTCCACTCGCCTGAATCTCCAAAGTGTGGGCCAGGGGAGGCATCTCACTGGTCTGGCGGCGGTCTGGAATCGACGCCCTATGATGTTCTGGCTCGTTTTTCAGCCCTCGCAGATCCAGACTCTGGTTTGGCCCAATGAGGCTCACTAGAGTGCTTTGGCTCGATGTCAGCCCTCCCAGATCCAGAAACGAGGCTCTCTATGGTGTTCTGGCTCTCACCAGAGTCTCTATAGGGGGGGGCGAGTGTTCTGGCACGATCTCAGCCCTCGCAGATCCAGAAATGGAACTTACTGTTTTTCTGGCTCGACCTCAGCCGTCGCAGGTCCAGCAGTTCTGGCAGGGGCATAGGGGTTCTCACCACTCTGGACTTCCTGTGCCGGTTCCATGCCCGTGCTCGCAGATCCAGAAATGAGACTCCCTGCAGTGCTCTGGCCCGATCTCGGCCGTCGCGGGTTCAGAACGCGCTGCAGGGGCACCAGACTCAGGAGGGAAAGAAACACACAGACACAATCCATCGTTGACCCCCAGGCAGATACACGAACACATGAGAAGTGGGGAGGGGAGGACGACGACCTTGAAGATGTGGGGGCCCCTGCGGTTTGTGTGTATTTCTCTGTGTGTGTCCCTGGGCCCCTTCACAATGGGAAACTATGGGGAATCTGTTTATTTGTGTGTATTTATTTGTGTGTCCTGGGGCCCCTTCATCTTCACCACTTTAACTGCTACAGACTGTGGCAGGGGCACTGGGTTCTGACCATGCCAGCTGTCCGGGGTCCACTGCGCGGTCCGCCCCTGGATCAGCATCACTGCAGGTCGGCAGGGCCTGACTAGCTGGCCGTCGCGTTCACGCCACCGTGCAGACAAGGAGCTCCGTGATCGTATCGACACTGACGAGGTCGTTCACGCAAGACGACGTTTCAGGCGCCCATCCGCCTCCACTTCTTAGTTGCTGTGCGGGTGCTTTGCTGGTTTGTTGGTTTGCTTTCGGGAGCCTCCTGAGCATTCTCTTGGGGCCCTCTCGGGCCGTCTCAGGAGCCTCTTGAAGGCCGCCTTGAGGCTTGCACAATCGTGGCTCCTTCTTGGAACCCGGGAGGCCTTTGGACATCCTTGGGGCGAGCTTGGTTGTCTTGGGACGTTTTTTGTTGGCTGTCTGGGCTGTATAGAGGCATGTGGTGTTGCTGCTTACGCTGTAGGGGCTGTTTTCACTCCCCTGGGGCAGGGCTCTCTGGTCTTTCCGAACAGTCATGTAATGGCCGTCGGCCCATGCGGCCACCGTGCCTGGGTTGCGAGTATGGAGCCTATTGGATGTTCGTTGGGATCTCGTGGGGGACACCTCGGGCGCCTCTTGGAAGCAGCTTGGACGCCTCTTGTTGGCTGTTTCGGGGCCTCACGGGGCCTCTTTTGTACTCGTTGGGGCTTCTTGGGGACGTCTTGGGGCCTTTTGGGGCCTTTTTGGCGCCTCTTGGGGCCTCCTGGGGGCATCTTGCGGCGGAAGGCTTGGATTTTCGGTTCGTGTTGCCTCTCTTGGGCCCTTTTGGAGGCCGTCTTGGGGCCCTTTTGGGCTGTTTGGGGGATCTCTTGGGCCGTTTTGGGGCCTTCTCGGGCCGTTTTGGGGCCCTCTTGTTGGGGCGGTCTTGGAGGCTTTTAGGGCAGTCTGGGAGCGTCGGGAAATCCTAAAGGCGAGAACGCCAAACATTGTTCTGAATAATCAATTACACTTGAGAAAGCCCCAATCAGTGGATGATTTGAATATTAGTCATATGGATCTTGAGATCGATTGTGAGATCGATAATGAGATCGATAGTGGAATCGATAGAGGACGATTGTCAGACCGAGAGTGAAATCGATTCAATCAGATCGATAGGGAGATCGATCGCGAGATCGCTCGTGCGATCTCTAGTGAGATCGCTTGCGAGATCGATTGTGAGATCGATTGTGAGATCGATGGTGAGAACGACAGAGAGGTTGGAAATGAGATCGATGCTGAGACCGATCGATAAGAAGATCGACCAGGAACCCGGGAACCTGGGAACCTCGCCGCCCACCGAAATCGGCCCGGGAACCGGGAACCCGGGAACCCGGAACTGGGAACCCGGGAACCCAGCGTGCGACCAACATCGGCGGGAAATTTTCGCCAAATCCTTCAACCCCCGCTAAGACCCCTTCAGTGCAAGCACTGATTGGGGAATGAAAATAAATGAACTGGGCTTCTTGTGGCCCTCTTGGGAGGCATCCCGGAGACCTCTCTGGGCATCTTGGAGGCCTCTTTGGCCGTCTGGGGGACCATCTTAAGCGTCGGGGGGGCCTCTTGGGGCCCTCTCCTTGGGCCCAGAAGCGTCACGCGACAACACTTCCCAGAACCCACCGTGCACGCGACAAGCCCCAGGAGGCCCGGGAGATTTGCGGGCCCCTTAAAGGCCTCTCAGGAGGGAAGATTAGGGCTTAGACTATTGGGCCCAGGACCTGAGGACACGCCCACTCCGTGCCCAGAGGTATGTTGGCGGAGATGGTAAAGCTGTTCGAAGCTGACTCCAGAGAAGAGGAGCGTTTCTTTAGGGCTAGTCGCGAGGATGGGATGGAGCTGGCGCCAGGAAACACGCAAGAAATCTCACCAGGCAGCAGAGGAGCACGTCTGACACACCCCAACGTGCAGAAGGCACGGTGGCTGATGATCAGCGAGGTCTTACGGGAGAGCCCTACAGCTGCAACAGTTGAGTTCGGCGCCTCGGCGAGAGCTACGTTCTGAAAATCACTGGCCCTCCGTCCGGGTAAGTGATGGAGGCTTGTAAGACGAACGTGGGCGACTCTCAGGCGCGGGACCCACGGGGCGGTGCAAATAGCAAGGAAGTTTCAAACGAAACGTCCGTCCTTGGCTACGGACATGTCTGGTGGAGCAGCAGGGAGGAGGAGCTTATCAGAGCGAGGAGGCCGAACGGTCATTCACTGTCCCTGGGTGCGTGGCTGAAGTGGAGTTCCGCGGCACGGATTCTTGTGTTGTTTCTTGTCGACGTCCCACACGCGACCCACCCGCGACCAACCCCGCAACCCACCCGCAACGCACCCCGCGACCCAACCGCGACCCTGCGCCCGCCTCCTCACTAATATGCCAACTGCCTGGTGCTTCAGCAAGGAAAAGAGATGGCGGAGGAGGAGTAATGGGAGGCAGGAGGAGCTCAGATGATAGGGGTGGGAGAGGAGGCAGAGGAGGAGGAGGAGGAGGAGGAGGAGGAGGAGGAGGAGGATGGGCATGACATGCGGAGGAGGAGGAGGAGGAGGAGGAGGAGGAGGAGGAGGAGGAATAAGAGGAGGATGACGGGCTGGAGAAGAAGGACAAGGGGAGGGGGAGAAAGAATGGGAGGGAAGTGGGAGGTGGAGGCACACGAGGAGGAAGGAGGAGATGGAGACAGGGGACGGGGGGACCTGGAATTCCGACGACGTGTTTTTTTTGTTACGACATGGGGCCCCAGCGGTCTAGACATTCCTTCTCCGCGACCAGATTTCCGTCCAGAGTTGTTTTTCTTGTGGAATTGGGGCCCTGCGACGGGGGGGGGGTCGAGGGAATCGGGTGTCGCGCAAGGGGGGGTGCGATCAATAGGGGGGCAGACCCCTACGGAGGCCCTCCTTGGCCCAAAAGGGCGCCCTTGGGGCCCGAAAGGCGCACCTCTTCTCCCCCCCCTTACAGTCGACCCGCATAGCAAGGATGGGCAGCCTTCCCCAGGGTACCCCTTGCAGCCTCGCCTCCTCGGGCCATCCTCGGCCACTTCCGTCGGCCGCGCCCCGCTCGGACAGCTTCGAAATGGGCGTCCAAGGCCCTTGCATCCTTATCGCGCATCCTTCCTATACAGTCGGGGCCCTGAAGAAGGAACCCTTTTCGTTGGGGAGGGGCTCCGCGTTCCTTACGTGTTTCACACCTTGCCTCAGGTTTTCCTTATGTCTTCGACCGGAAGTCGAAGGTCAACTTATGGAAAACTGCGGCCTCGTTTTTCTTGGTTAGGGTTCCTTAGGTCAACGCCCCGACTGTATACTGGTCGACTGCATCGCCCCCCCACAATCCGCGACGCCCCGGGGGAGTGCCGGCGGGACGGGGGGGCGATTGCACGGCGCACCTTTGGGGCCCCTCCGCGCGCGGGGGAGGATGCCCATGATGCTCGGGCGCCTTGCCGCCGCCGGCCGCCTCGCGGTGGCCCTGCGCCCTCGCAGCTGCCTCCGCCCCTTTTCTCCCGAGCGCCGACGACGAGGGCCATGACAGTAACGGTGACGACGACGATGCGATGGCGACGGCGATGGCGATGACGAGGACGCCGATGGTGATGGTGACGGTGATGATGATGGGGGTGATGATGGTGATGTCGATGGTGTTGGTCAACATGGTGATGTTGACGTTGATGATGTTGGTGGTGATGTTGATGGTGACGATGATGGTGGTGATGCTGATGGTGGTGATGATGGTGATGATGCTGATGGTGATGTTGATAATGATGAATATGATTATAATCATGATGCTGCTGATGATGATGGTGATGGTGATGGTGATGGTGTTGTCGATGATGGTGGTTGTTGTGTAAAGGATGAGTATGTTGATGATGATGCTGCTGATGATGATGTCGGTGATGATGATGTTCCTGCTGATGGTGATGGTGATGATGATTCTGATGACGAGGACGAGGACGAGGATCAATATGAGGATGAGGATGGATATGAGGATGAGGATGATCATGATGATCAGGATAATGACGACGATGATGACGATGGCGATGATGCTGATGGTGATGATGATGATTGTGGTGGTGGTGATAATGATGACAGTCATGATGCTGACTGTGTTGATGACGGTGATGATGATGATAACGATGACGATGACGACGGTTGTGACCATGACGATGATGTTGACGATAATGATGATGATGCTGTTGATGATGATGGTGATGTTGATGATGGTGTTGATGATGATGATGCGGTTGGCAATGATGACGATGATCTGACGATGATACTGTTGATTATGATTGTGGTGGTGATGGTAACGGACATGGTGATGCTGATGTCGATGTCAATGACGATGGTGGATTGACGATGTTGGTGATGTTGGTGGTGATGGTGATGACGGAAGCGACAGCAGGCTCGGGCCCAAGGCGCCCATGCAAAATGATCGCCACACAAGACATCGCCCTTCCCGCGGAAGAGACACTCACGATGGGCAGGAGCCTGCCGCCTAAAGACAGTTCGCACGCCGAGAGATGTCCCTGGCAGCGCGCCCTCCCAGCCTCCGTCTTCTCGGCTCCCGACGGGAGCAGGGGGAACGGTTGATGGGCAAGATCTTGCACTTGTCGTGTTGATATGTGTGAGTACCCACGCGCCCCCAGCTCAATGTCGGCGGGCAGCACCGCAGTCTGCCAATCTGCCGACTGGGCCAGCAGGAGGAGGAGGAGGAGGAGGTGGAGGAGGAGGAGGAGGAGGAGGGAAAGGAGGAGGAGGAGGAAGAGGGGAAGGGAGGAGGAGGAGGAGGACGAGGAGGCAAGGAGGAGGAGGAGGAGGGAGGAGGAGGAGGAGGGGCAGGAGAGAGGGCTCAGGAGTAGGAGGAGGGGCAACCAGGAGGAGGAGGAGAGGAGAGGAGGAGGAGGCGGACGGCGCAGGCGGAGGCGGAGCGAGGCGGAGGCGGAGGCGGAGGAGGAGGAGGATGAGGAGAGGAGGAGGAGGAGGAAGAGGAGGAGGAGGAGAGAGGAGGAGGAGATGACGGGGGAGGAGGTGCGGGAGGAGGAGGAGGAGGAGGAGGAGGAGGATGAGGAGGAGGATCAAGATGAAGCTGATGTTGAGGCTGATGCTGATGATGGTGATGCTGATGATGCTGATGATGCTGATGATGCTGATGATGCTGATGATGATGCTGTTGATGATGATGATGATGATGATGATGATGATGATGATGCTGGTCATGATGATGATGATGATGATGATGCTGATGCTGATGCTGATGCTGATGCTGATGGGTATTTGGATGATGCTGATGATGCTGATGATGTTGACGATGATGATGTTGGTGATGGTGTTCATGGTGATGATGCTGATGACGCTGTTGATGATGCTGGTGATGCAGCTGATGCTGATGCTGATGCTGATGCTGTTGATGGTGATGATGATGCTGATGATGATGCCGATGGTACTGACGATGATGATGATGTTGTTGATGATGCTGTTAATGATGCTGATGCTGATGGTGATGATGATGATGATGATGCTGATGATGATGATGATGATGATGATGGTTCTGCTGATGATGAAGCTGGTGCTGACGATGACGGTGGTGATGCTGATGATGATGCTGATGCGGTTGATAATGCTGATGTTGATGATGTTGATGATGATGCTGATGGTGATGCTGATGGTGATGCTGGTGGTGAGGCCGATGCTGCTGATGATGGTTTTGAGTATGAAGATGCTAATGATGCCGATGATGACGATGATGATGGTATGGATGATGATGATGATGATGTTGCTGATGATGATGATGATGATGATGATGCTGATGCTGATGTTGCTGCTGAGTATGATGATGCTGATGATGGTGATGATGATGAGGATGAGGACGATGATGATGATGATGATGATGAGGTTGATGATGATGATGATGATGATGGTGGTGGTGATGATGAGGATGATGATGATGATGATGATGATGATGATGATGATGATGATGATGATGATGATGATGATGATGATGATGAGG